CCAGCTGATCCGAAGAAGAAACCAAAAGGGCAACAAGAACAGGTTGTCCCAGAAGATGCTGCTGCAGTGAAGCCGAAACCCAATCCCAAGAAGCATCCTGAAGACAAGAACAAAAAGGGAAAGGGAAAAGGTAAAGGTGATGGAAAGGATCGCAGCCGAAGTCCGAGTACAGACAAAAAGAAGATACCGTGCAAATTCTTCGTGAAAGGTAACTGCACTATGGGGAAAGATTGCCCATTCAGTCACAAGAAACCCAGATCGCCATCCAGAGGACCTTCTGTCGGAAAGAATGACAAGCCAGTATGCTGGATGTGGATTCGAGGAACTTGTGACAAAGGGAAGGATTGTAAGTTCTACCATGACCCAAAAGCCTCTCCTAAGAAAGGGATATCTGCACCAGCTGACTCAGGAGACGATAGGCCGAAGCCCAAGGCAAAACCCAAACCGAAACCTAAGGCGAAGCCTGGAGCCCCGGCCATTGGCGGTGAACTCTTCATGGACGAATCCGAAGATGAAGGGATTGCTGCATCCGCCAAGGCAAGAGAAGGAGGTACAAAAGTATCCTTTGATGAAGAGACTTGTGAGATCATGTTGAACGAAGCGATCTACTCAGTCAGGGACAAATGGAAGGTAGTAGAAAAGAAACCTCTACGTCCGGACATCAAACGATATGATGAGAAAGAGCTCACCTGCTACACGAGGAAAGAACAAATCAGATTTGAAGAAAAGGTCGCAGAGGCAAGAGGCATATTGATGGTTCCCTACACTGAGATCAAGAGGGTCCGAATACCAGTTGGACCAAAGGGTGACCTATCGGTCACTATGTCTTTTGATGAAGATGACGGCCTAGTTTTCCATCATAAAGTCATTCCTCATGTATGCGAGGGAAAGAATGATCATGCAGACACAAAGACGTTGTCTATTCCAGCCAAAGGGTCAAGAACGAAGTTCATCATGGACACAGGATGTGGGTATGATCTGATATCGAAAGGCAGAGCCAAGAAACTAGGTCTGGAAGTGAGAGAAAGCGACCAATCAATGTCATTCTATACCGCAAATGGAGTGACATCCACAAAAGGGGTCGCCGACATTCATTTCGACGAATTTGACTCTACCTACTCCCCATTCGTCCTAGATGAATCTCCTTCAGTACTGTCTGTTGGAAAGAAATGCATGGAGGAAGGATACACATTCATATGGCCAGCCTGCGGCAACCCGTACATGATTTCCCCGAAATACAAGAAAATAATGTTAGAAGTAGAGGGAAACATCCCATATATTGTCAAGGGCAGTGACTTCTGTACTCCCACCGACGATACAAGGGCGGAGATGATCGCAAGGTTCACCCTAGGAGAAGATGAAGCCGATTACCAATCGACTTTCATCAACTGTGATGTGGATCCTCAAGGAATCATGTGTGATAATGACGACCTTCCTGTGATTGAACCTCCAAAAGTCAAAAGGCGAAAGAGGAATAAGAAGTTCAAGGCATCTCCTGGAGAAGAAGATGAGGTAGGATCGGATGTCGCCGGAGACAGTGAACCAGAAGCTGACGATGATGATGCAGATGACATCGAGGTGGATGTTGTTGACGGTGCAAGTAGAATGGTGAGAAGAGGAACTCTGAAAGCAGATGCCAGGAAAATCGAGCATCTACTCACACATCGTTACAAGAATCCCTACTGTGAATCATGCATCAGAGCAAAGATGAAACACTTCAAGACGCATCGGGGAGCGTTCAAGAGAAAGCTCAAAGCTTTTGGAGACCTGGTTACCTTTGATTTTGTCGATACAAGGAACATCCTTGATCAAGGGATCAGTACTGATCGAGAGATCTTCGTCATTCGTGACAGGTACACAGGCGTCATATGGGCCTATCCGTCGAAAGAGAAGTATACCAAGGACGTGATCAATGCAATAAACCACTTCAAGGGATTGAAGAAGATCAAGATTGCTTATGCCGACAAAGCCCCAGAGTTTGAGACGGCTATGAAACAGCTGAAGATCCCATTCGATCACTCTCTACCGAATCATCCTCAAAACAATTCTCTGGCGGAGAGGAACAATCAGTTCATTATGATGACAACCGCAACTTGTCTCTTGGAAGCGGGGTTACCACCATGTTTCTGGAGCTATGCAGTAGAATGCGTCAGCCATCTTTTGAACATTGAGGAAGGAGAGGATGGAGTGAGCCCTTGGTACAAGCTACATGGGAAAGAGTTCCATGGAGAGAAGATTCCCTTTGGTGCAAAGGTCTTCTTCATGCCGAGCAGTCAAGGAAGGATTGAGCAAAAGCACAAGTTTGATCCCAAGGGAATCCCAGGTATTTTCGCCGGATATGAGATCAAGCCCGGGATGAACTGGTCGAGACAATACAGAGTGTGGAGTCTTGAAACTTTTGCACATCAAAGCCTTGCGTTTGATGCCAATCGCCCTATCAGAAAGCTACTCACACCACAGCTCACAGAGACCCTGGTATTCCTCGCTCCCATCGAATTCCCATTGAAGGAAGGATACGAGAAGATCAACAACACGTCGGAAGGCATGAAGATCCGTGACAGGAGAGATGGAGAGCCAGAGGTCGGAGATCCTAGTCAAATGATTGACTATGGAGAATATGAACCAACTGAGCCCGGTATGGATTTTGAGGAGCTTGCGGAAAGGGAGATTAGAGATGAGGACGACGAAGAAGCCATTGGAGATCAGGAAGCAGATGATGAAGAACGAGATGATCCCGGTGATGATGATGATCCAAAACCTGATGGCGGTCATTCTAAAATATTGTCCAAAACTGCCAAGGCGAAGGTACCACCTTCGACCAGCAGGGAAGATCACCCGCCAGTTGGAGATCCTTCAATGGATCACATGTCCATGGGAAAAGCAAGTGATGGTATCATCTACTTGAATGATGATGGTGAAACCGTGAAATTGGACAGGAAAGGGAATCCATATAAGGTTGGATCAGACGGAAGAAGGTTCTTCAGATCATCACCGAGACCAAGATCAAAATATACTCCAGAAGAATGGAAAGCGTTATCTCTATCTGATAGAGCCATCGCTGAGAAGAAAGCAGCTCTCGAGAAAGAAAAGATGAAAGAGAGAGAGAGTAAAGGTGCGGGATCCAGCAAGGACAAAAGGAAGAAGAAAAAGAAGGAGGACAAGGATGATGATCCTAAGGACATATCGCCCAACATCTTCATCGGTCAGAAGAAAGATCGGACGTCGACCATCGATGACGATGACATGGGGGGCCATAGTCCGTCTTCGGCATCTACACTTTCCACAGAACTCCCAAGCGACGACTATTACTTAGTCGAATGGGAGGAATGGACGAGTGTGGAGAATGGGTTCGGCCCACGTGCTACTTGGGATTCACTCAATATCATTGATGTCAACAGTGGAGAAATCCTCAACGATGTGGCAGTAGCATATGCAATGCCAACGGAATCCAATAGATGCACGACCGAAGATTTCACAAAGAACTTGAAGGATCATCACTTGTCATTTCCGTCAATGCCGTGCATCAACTCGATCTCTAAACATCGAGAAAGATACACATATGCCGACGCAACGAACCCGATGAGTGCTTATCGGAACCTGTTCAATGCAGCAGTTTCCAGGCCTGTTAGTCGAGCAGAAATGTTGAAGAATCCCAAGGCTAAAGCCTCAATGAGAAAAGAATGGTTGGGACTTCACGAGCAAGGAGTGTTCGACTTCTCTGTAATTCGAGAGTATCACGACGTAAAACAAGAAGCGCTCACTCTGAAGCAGGTCGTGCACTTTGCAAGGGTCCATGGCATCATTGTGGAAAAGAACTACCAGTTGCCAATGAGTGATGAGAGACGAAAATTTAAGGGAAGAGGGGTATTGCTAGGAAACAAAGTGAAGAATCAGAATTGGGAAGCAGCTTTCTTTCAGGACTTGGGCAATTCACCAGCATCCTTTGAATCTTCTAGATGGGCAGATTTCTATGGATGTGTTCCCGGACATTCGGTTAAGCTCGCTGATGCGATTCAGGCATACATTCAGGCTTCTCTTACGGGACCGCCCTGTTGGGTCGAGTTACCGTCAGACGCGTGGCCAGATGATGTTGATGTATCAAAGTATCATCGACCAGTGGTACGCCTCCTCAAAGCCTTGTATGGACATCCGGACGCAGGTACAATGTGGGAGAAGCACTGCGATACGCAGGTGCGCCAACTTGGCTTCAAGCCAATTGGTGATGAATGGCCATCAATGTACTTTCACGAAGGCCTGAAACTTCTTCTCGTTATATATGTGGACGACCTGAAACTTGCCGGACCAACCGAGAACATGACCAAAGGATGGTCTATGCTACGAACGA